CCCTCGAGTATTCATGAGGTAGATACGTATCATACAATATGATGATTTTAATGAATAGTCCATTTGTTTTTGGGGGAACAATGCATTCAGTGTACTCAATTCGTTTCATGAACAGCTACGAAAGGTGAAACTGTTATATTGCATTTTTAGCAGTTTTTTTTCATTTTTAAAACAATTTTTAGCGTTTTCAGGTCTTTTTAATTAATTTATAGTATTATATTGTACGAGCTTTTAGTTTAAATAAAAAAATTCAAAATTTTTTTCTTGTAATATTCTCTTTGATAGTTCTAAGGTAGGTATTATTTTTGTCAAATCATATGTCAATATTATTCTATTTATGAAGATGATTATACGTATTTATCTATTTACAGCGATTATCGGATGGGTTGTCTTAACTTAAGACAAATAACAATATTAATTGGTCAGTTTTAATTATGTCTTGATGGCGTTTAATTCGAGTACCTATAGGTACTGTTAATTTATTGAGCATGCCTAAGTTCAGTATTTTGTTTTTTTATTATTGTTAGTTCAGTTAACATACAAAGTGTTGAAAATTACCCATCGTTTTCCGCTCACTTATGTGCCTATCAAAAAAAAATGTGGGTAATTTTTTAAGGGCATTTTTATTGGGTATATATTGTTATTTTTTAAAGCATTTTTTAATAGTTTTCACTTTTAAGGTAATTCAAATCCGGTCCTTAATAATGATATCTCTGTATAGACGGAGATGAAAATTCAGTTTTTCGTATAGAAAATTATTGTGAAAACATCGCGAAAATAAATAGGGAAACTGGGGGAAATAAAATTATTAGTCTAATTACAGAACAGGTGGGTATAGGTACACGGTAGTAACTATACAGACGTTTTGAAAACATGACTTTTAACACCTCAAGTGGAACACATTTGACTTTTCAATAGATTATTATCGTTTATTTACCTACATATTATACCAAGTTTATAGTGTGTATTGTACTAGTGTGTTCGGTTTAAATACCAAATTTCACCATATTATGACGTGATATGACACGCGTGACGTGACACCTATAATAATTAGCACAGTAAACCATTTTCACGAAGGTTTATCGATTCAAACAACTGTTTCAGTGTTGTCGAAGGTATACTTACCATGTTAGCGGCAACGTAAATGCTAACGATTATATAATATATTTGCACACACACAGTGTCGATATTAGTGTTGAAAAATGAATATTACATACAATTTGGTAAAATTAATTTATGATATAACTCGGACGGAACGTTAATAATACTATTGATACTCAGCTGCGGAAGCGGCTACGTATCGACCGGTGTCGCTAGCTCTCGGATGGGTGACCACCCGGGATTTTTAGCAACAAATCCTTGCCACAAACGTGTTTCAACCAACTGTTCATCTTCCTTACAAACAAAAAAAAAACAGCTAATAACCATAGTTGCAGGGATTAAGTTCAAAAAAAAATAATATATTATTGTAATTCACACACATGTTGAACATTCTGCAAATATCTTTGGCAACAAATCGTAAATATTGTCAAATTAATAGGTACCACTCTGTGTTCTTTTAAAACTATCATTATTAATTTCGAGAGCGTCACGCTGCTCCATAAGTCTACAGTTAACATTTTAACTACCTATGATATGTTAAAACGAAAGTTCTGCAGAATTCCTTATCGAAAATCGACGTGGAAATGTGTTTGCCATATATTTTGTGATTAAATATAACACCTGCACATATTATTCTCTACGTGTGCAAACAAGTCGTGGAGTGACCACTACATGGAATACCATAATAATAAAATAGTAATTATTCACGGCGAGGGGTGGAAGTCTATATAGAATTTATTGTCACGTATAGAATAATATTCATTTCACTGCATGTTCAAATGCTGTAGGCTACGGATACGATATCGATATTGTAACAAATTTTTGATATCGATATTATAACAGAATATAATAATCCTATATCGGAAATTTATTATTGTAACAAGTTTTTTTCTACTCTTCAATTTCCAATGTTAAGCAAACTGTTTAATAATTATTGATTCAATATTTATATTTATTTGTTTATATTACTTAATTATTAATTTTAATAAGTATTAAGTAGTTAAAATTTAAAATAATTAAAACATATTTTTGATATCGATATGACGATATCGTACAACTTACAATAGCTTACAATATCGGAAAATTCGGAACGATATCGATACACACAATTATATATCGTTGCCCATCACTGAGCTATTTATACACTCGTATTCTTTCACGGACACCAAATTATTTACGTCCAGCAAATTGAATAAATTAGCGTCGTATAAGAGCTCACGGGACTGCAGGGTGCATGATGATCAACACAAGTAGCAGGCAAAATATCATTTAATATTTTTATAATGTTTTTATATTTTTATATTATATATCATAATATATTTTATTAAACCAATTACAATATTCTAAACAAATCATGTATAGTATATTATATATATATATATACATATATATAATATATATGTAATCACTTAAACGAAAAAAAAAGAAAAATAATATTTGGTTTGACGTAAAATTAATAATATTATAATATATAGTAGGTATTATGTACATATACAACGATATAATAATATATATACGCGGACAGATAAAAAAAAAACAACTAACGAAAAAAAATTATTTGCAGTACAACATTCATACTTGTGTAGGTATTATATATAATGTCCAAAGACATATTTTTTAATGCAAGAGTTTTGATTTTAAAACAAAAAAATAATATTAACTTTAAGAACACACAATGTTGGCGACGATGTGATCTGTATTAATACAAATATAATACATATTACAATATGTCTAGGTGCCTACCTATATATTTTTAATTTTATGGTAAACAAATACATCGTTCATGTGTTTGAGTGTTTGTATATTCGTGTTTGCGAGAGTGTGACATAGGTACTGTACAGTACGTACATATAGAAATAGAATTATATTATAATAATAATATTTTAGATGCGTATACGGCCGATGTCTGTATTTCGATTTCCGACGTCGGAGATCAAAATTTTGGTGATCACTCGACAAATACAAAAAAACGTAATCGCGCTAGATAATTAATAACGATGATTATAATAATTATAATATAATCAATTATATGTCGAGTGACCATCAAAAGTCCGAAGGAAAATATCGTCGGATCCCGAAACCGAAAACGGTCGGCATCGTGAAGTTTCACTAAACCTAATCTAAAACTCGAACACTTCAACAATATAATATCATAGTAAACAATAATGATAAAAATAATTAATAATAAAAAGATAGACGATTATTCATTTATTTATTTATTTTTAGGTACAGTGATGATAATATATATATTTTTTTTAAACCAAACGCACAGTCAATAAAATATTAAACTTACAATTTATTTACGTAAGGTATTTCCTAAATTACATAGGAAAACTTAAATACACCGTTTTTTTTTTAAACTCTAATCCGTATAAGAACTCTACAATAAAATAATGAGGAACATTAGTGAGCGTAAACGCAATTTTAATTAAAACGTAGGTATATGTTATATATTTAATTTTTTTTTTTGTTTTTTCTTATTTTTAATTTCAAACAATTTTTGGGTGAGTTTATACTTGGGGTTTGGAGATGCTTTTAAATCTAAATCAAATAATAATCGTATAATCATAATAATAATCATAATAATAATAATAATAATAATAATAATAATAGTAATAATAAGAATAATAATAATAATAATAAAAATAATTGTAAATGTAAAATAATAAATAACAGACTAGTCAAACATAAACCGAATTTACAACATTTTTTTTTTTTTGCTAGAAATTACTCATTTCTAAAAGAGAAAAAACAAACGATTGTTAACAATAAAAAAAAAAACTACATGACAAAATTCTAGACTTAGAAACATTTTGTACTTATTTTTATGAAAAATTATTTACATGATGGAAAAATGGGATTTATATTATTGTTTTATAATAAATATAATATTATACACGATATTGTGTTCGACACGTTATTTATTTTATATTTACAATTTTTCTGGGAATGTTTATCGAGATTATAATTGTATAATGTTAATAAAATAATTATTACCATATACAATTGTTTTTTCATTCACATAATCACGCATCCACTCGGTCTATACGTAAACGTATGTATGCGTATAAAGCGGTTGGAAAACTTTAATAATGATTATGTGAACTCTATAAAAATGCAGTCTTCGGTGTGGAACTCGTGATGATCTCTCGGGAATGTATAGGAGGTACTTTCGTTAAAACGGAATCACCGTGAAAAAAATTCAGTTCAAAAAGGAAAAAAAGAACGCGAAAATCGGTCGGGAAACAGGCATTATGTACGGTATGTATATAGTAGGTGGGCATCATGTGGAATGGTACGTTTTTTTCAGTTAGCATAATAATGTTTTGAGCGAATCGACGTTGTGCCGTTTAACCGTGGGTATATAGCATTATACGAACAGATAAAGGAAGATTAAAAAATATATATATATATATTATAATATATAATAAATTATTAAATTAAAACAAGACCGTATTTACACCAGACCTAGAGGGGTGACAGCGGATCACGATATAAAGACGATGAGACGGAGAGGACGTACGCCGTGTCCTGTATAGGTATTATATGGTTTTAATAATATTAAAGACTTTTTTTCAAGAAATATTTATAATGAAACGGTAACTAAAAAAAAAAAAACACATAAAACTGCATGTTCAAAACAAAAATATTATCATTATAGGTACATTATAATAATATATTATACGAGATCTATTTGTATTTTGTAAATTATCTATATATATATATGTATTTCATAACACACTTACATATTCTACTTATGTGTCGTATAAGAGATTTAATAGGTGTAATTTATATTATATTTTTTTCGTCGAGTCTCTAGTGAAATATTATACTGACTCATATCAGTATATTGTCGTACTCTGTACGGGGAGGGGGCTGAAACCCCTCCAGGGGAAGAGTCATGTGTTGTCCTTCGAAATGACTGAGCTGCTGTACGACTCATCGTCGGCCATGGAAGACGGTGGCAGAATGTAACCACCGCCGGACTCGGTCTTGGAACCGTCATCCATCTTGATGTACTGGCTGCCCTCCAGTTTAATGTTCTGGTTGACGACGCACTTGCGCATGTGCTTTTCGAGCGTGGACGGCACCGAGAACGGCATCTCGCAAAACCGGCACCGATACACGTCCTTGCCTAAGCGGCCGTGTGTTTTCATGTGCCTGGTCAGCTTAGAGCTCTGGGCGCACGCATACGAACACAGCTCGCACTTGTACGGTTTTTCGCCGGTGTGTGACCGTCGATGCACTGTCAGGTTGCTGCAGTTCTTGAACACCTTGCCGCAGTACTCAGCACGTGTCGTTGCGCCGCGACTCTTTCTTGGCATGTCCCCCCCTGCAGTCCCTGCAAGTTAAGCGCCGCTGACAGCGAGCTAGGACCCGGTTTCGAACGGCCACCACTTCCACCACCACTTCCCGGTTCTCCGACGCTACTTCCAACCGACGGTGGCTTTCCCGGAAGTCCGCTTAGGAACGATTCGCCTCGGTGGTGGGCGGCAATGGCCGGAAGCCACATGTTGGCCGCGTAAAGCCGTTCCCTGGCAAGCAGAGGGTGGTGTGGGTTTTCGGGGTCGAGCTTCAGCCTCTTGGAGGCCTGGTCGAAAGGGTTTTCGAAAGTGGAACCCGGCCCGAAGATGTGGTGCGCGCCCACTAGATCGAGTGGGTTCTGTCCGGCAGCGATCAGGTTCTTGGTGAGCTCCTCACGGAACCGGATGTCAGCCGCGGCCTTATCACCGAGCCCGTTCTCCAAGTTACGCAACGGATTTGCCGACTTTGCCGAACCGTTATTGTTGTCTGGTATGAGTGACGGTGACATCCGGAAGTTGTCCTTCCGCCGGATCCGAAACGGCGGCGGCAGCAGCGATGACGACTCCTTGAGCGCCTGCTTGTATGCTTCACTGTACTGTTGGATGTTGCTCAAGCCAAATTTGCTCATGAGCTCGCCAACTAGAGAGCTTGGCGGCAGCGGTTGCGGCATGCGGTCACCGGGCGTGTTCTCAGGTGAAGTGCGAGTGGAACCGTTGCCACCCGGCTTCTTGTCGTGTTCGGCCGATGACGTCGACTTGGTGGTCAAGTCTTCTGGCACATCACCACCTTCATCATTTTCATCATTATCTTCATCCTCTAGCTCCATGTCTTCCTGCTCTTCCTCCTCATCATCCTCGTCACCGTCGTCTTCGTCAGCGTCGTCCTCGTCACCATCATCCTCTTCCTCTATTTCCGCCTCGTCGTCGTCCATTTCGGAATCATCCTCGTCTTCATCGTTGGATGTTATGTCCGGTGTCGAGCTCGCATCCACCCCATTGGTAGTCGTCCCACACTCGCCACCGGCCAGCCCGTTTCCCCGATTCGACCGACGGTGCGTCTTCATGTGACGCTTCAGCTTGGAGCTCTGCGTACAAGCGTGGTCACACACCGAGCACTTGTACGGCTTTTCTCCGGTGTGTGTACGCCTGTGCACGATTAAGTTGCTCAGGAACCGGAACTTCTTACCACAGTATTCACACTCGCGAGTCTTTTCCTCCTCACCAATCTGCTGGTGCTGCTGTGGTTGACTGATTATATCTTGGCAGGTCTTATCCTTTGAAGCATTCGACGACAGGTCAAGCGTGTGCCTGGACGTATCACCGATAATTCGGTCTTGTTCAGATAGTGACTCGACCGAATTGTTGTTGCTCACGTTGCTGTTGTTGTTGTTGTTGTTATTTAAGCCGACAGTGACTGCTGCGGCGACGGCGGCGGAGGTAGTGTTTGTCTGCGGAGCCGTGGTCACGGCTGCCGTTGCCGACACGCTGTTGTTGATGTGGTTGTTGTTGTTGTTGGGGCTGCTAAAAGGTGGCGTCATTTTTCGCGGCGAAGGCGACGAACTTGGTGCAGTAGCAGCTCCAGGACTAGTGGTACCTGCGAGTTGCCGCAATCGCTGCGAGTAAAAATCCATCTGGGGATCGAGATTTAAGGCCGGTAACGTTGGCGCTGGGTGTCTAGGATTGTTCCGGTCGTTGGCTGCGGCCGCGGCGGCTAGCCCTGGGAACGGTGATGTGGGCATGGCATTTGCCGCGGCCACTGCCACGGCAAAACCCAGCCCATGCTGCTGCTGGTTGAGTCTAAACTGTTCAGACATGAGCTGCTCCATGCGGAACTGGTGTTCGTGTAAGTGGCTGGACGTCCGCGCGAACAGCGGCGGATTGCCGATGGGAGACGTCCCAGGGAATGGGGACGGGCGCTGAGGAGGCTCGCCCATCGGCATCCTAGGCAAGCCTCCAGTAGCAAAAGGGTTGATCATAGGCATGGGCATGGGGTTGTTGTCAACCATTGACGGCGGACCGGTATTCGTGGGTGGTGGCGGTGGAGGTGGTGGATGGTTGTGCATGTTCATCCGGGAAGGAGGCATGCTCAGAGCCAGTGGCATGGCCGACATGCCCGGCAGTGAAGACGTGTTTCCACTCGAGCACCCGGACGATCCTAACGAAGAGCATGACGAGTTGTTCTTGGACTGCGACACTGGCGATGGTGTGCCGTCCGAGTAGATCTTCATCGAGTGTAAGGTCTGGGCGTGCTGCAGAAGCCTCCACGATGAATTGAACCTCGCCTTGCACGTGCAACACACGAAACTGCTTGGCTCTGTGAACATGAAAGAAAGAAAAATTAAACAAAAATTCGATTAGAATGGTCGTTGTTTTGAAATTTCATATCGGTCAATCGACCGTGTACGAGCGCCGTTACACACAGCCCCGCTGCAGGCTGCGCATAATGTAATTTATATCATATTATAATATACAGGTACAGACTATAATATAATATTATATACACAATACTCTCGAGTCCGGCTCGACGTTAGGAAAAAATAAAAATAATAAACCCATACTGCGCCGCAGCCGTCAAGCGTGTACCATTCAATTGATTTCAGATTTAATAATGGAACAATAGAGACGACGGTGTTTTTATGTTTTCGTAATAGAGCTGGACGTCGGTTGTGTTTCTATCGCGTTATTGTATAATACACGTACAGGAGGTAGGGTACCTATATATATGTACCCTTATTCATTTAATATTATATAGTTTACGATCGCGCGCTGTAATTATTCCTCAAAATCTCTGTGGCAAAAAACGAAAGAAAAAAATATGATTGACTTAAGAATAGATTGCGCGAGAACCCAATCGGACTCTGAGCTACTGCTGAGCGGCGGCGGCAGTGGCAAGTAACGGCCTTTTTCCGGCAGCAACGACGACGCCGCCGCCGCCACCGCCGATGACGTGTGGCTACGACCAAAAAGGGTCATACTACGTAATATTATATAATATTATTATGTGTGTGCGAGCAGCTGACCGAAAATTTGCGGGAGAACAACAACAGCGACGACAACTGTGCATTATTGCACAAGATTTCGGCGAGTTTTTGTTATTTAGAAATCTATATTGTGTGTTTCGTACGTACAAAATCAGTATATCCTATAATAGTACATATACTCGTTGTGAACTCAATATACACAATAGTTGTAGTGTTGTAGTGGTAGTAGTAGTAGTAATAGTAGTAGGGGGCGGTAAAAATTTCATTAAAAAATATTAAACAAAAAAACTTGATAGAGAGAGAGAGAGAGAGAGAGAAGAGAGTGAGACGGACATTCACACCCCATCGTATAATATATCATTATACGCGTGTATTATGTATAAAGTGGTGTTTTTTTTTTAAAAATGACCCGAGGGATAATATGTAACGCGACCACCGCCACCGCGTTCCCCTATAATCCGTATATATCGGGTTGTAAAGTTTATTTTTTTCCCCGTCGGACAAGATGCGTCGGTGTGAAAAATAAAAATATAACGTTTTCGCGGTGGCGGCTGCTGTGCCACGGTAATGGCAGTGGCGGCGAGCGCAATAATGAACGAGTGGCATATAAACGCGGGCGCCGGGTGGCGCAATGATGCGCTGTTACGACCGGACCCCGAGAGAGGATATTATTGAAAAAAAAACTGTAAAAACGACTATGGAAATGCGACGGCGATGCCTCGTACGCGAAGCCGGCGGCACACGGCTGGACCGTGCGTGACTCGAATGCGTAACCGTGAAAACGAAAAAAAAAAAAGACGCGAAATATCAAATAATATAATATAATATATAATACCGACCGGAATCGGTTACATAAAATAATACTGAATCTCATACCAGATGCGAACTATTGCACACGAAGTGTCGTATAGGTTCTTATACGAGCCCGTTGCCCCGAAGTCGGGATCGATGACGAGGTTATTCCATTAATTATTATTATCGCCACAAGATTGGCGTTCGCCAAGATGATCTATATAATATTATAATATATGTTTATTACACACGATATGACACACACGTACCGTTAAGACGAAGAATCCGGAGAGTACAAAGTCATTACTATAACGTCTAAATAATACCTACGCTCTTGTCGTTTTCTTTTATATATTTATGTTCCTCTTTTTTCCGCGGTACTCCCCCCTACCGAAAATCAAGATCGATGCTGTGGCGGAGACGGGGACACTGGAGAGAACGCGGTTTCTCTAAATAACACGAAAAGTCGAACCGGGCACGTTTCTCCGTGATGCACGATAACAGTGTCGTCTATATAATATAATATACGTATAGGCTCCTCGTAGTGCTGCGGTGGAGGTGTAAGGGAAAAGGGGGGATGGAGGGATATTTCGTTTTTTTTTTCTTTTCCTTTTTTTCAAATGCAAATTCTAACCATCTCGCGCTCACACATACACACACACGTACACACATTATTACGGTTAGGTTTTCTTTCCTCGTCCCGCCACCCGCAACGCCGTATACATACACACACATACACGATATTATTATAATATATTATATTGTATACTATATACGCTGCGAGTTTCCTCTTCCGGCGCCGCGCGGGTCATATTATATGTGCGGGGGAAGTGCAGAGGCTCGTCGTCGTGTGCGTGTCGCCAGCTATATATATATGTAATGTGTGTATAATACGTATACATTATAATAATATCTATGAGAGCATTCATCATCGCCGGCCACAAGTGGACTTCGCCGCCGCAGCCTCCTCGTCCTCCGCGTGCATAGTACTCCACCCGCCCGCTGTGTACCGCCTCGCGTCTTTAACCGCGACGCGTATATTTATAATATACCACGTATACGTATATAATATAGTGCCTA